CCCGACTCGCCCCAGCTCAGCGGAGCACTGGATGAGGCAGGTGTGTGCTCCAGCCAGCGCCAGCTGGCGCCCGGCATCGCCGCCAGCCAACCGCCCCGGCGCCTGCCTGCCCTTGCCCTCCCTGGCCGCCTGCCCTCTCACCTCCCCTGCCCGGCGCCGCTGCCGCCTGCCCCCGCTCCCCGCCCTGCCCGCAGATGTGCTGCCCTTTGCTCTGGACGAGGGCAGCGCCTCCTCCCCCCTCAACCCCCGCAGCCCCGCGCCGCCCTCGCCACCGCCGCCGCCCGCGGCAGCCTCCCTGGACCAGCTGCCCGTCAGCACCCCCGCGGGCGGCGGCGGCAGCCCGCTGGCCGCCGCCTCCCGCCAGCCTGCGCCCGCCGCCGGGCAGGGCGCGGCCCCAAGCTGCGGCGCAGCGACAGCAGCGCCGGCACCGGCGCCCGCCCCCGCCGCCGTTCCTGCCGTGGACGGCGACGCGGCCGTGGGCGCCTTTGTGCGGCTGATCCAGGGCGCGCCGCCGCTGCGCATGCAGGCTCCCCGGCTGGCGGGCCGCGCCTCCAGCGCCGAGCTGTCTGCCGCGGCGGGCCTGCGGGCGGCGCCCCCCGGCACCAGCAGCGGCAGCGACAGCAGCGCGGCCACCTGCCTGTCGGACGGGCGGGGGCTCACGCTGCAGGCGGGCCTGCGCCAGTTCTCCAGGATCAGGGAGAGGCTGCAGCAGCGCGGCGTGCTGGTGGGGCCTTGGCCCGCAGAGGCGTGAGGCGCCCGGGCGGTGGCGCCACCAGGCCCCTGCGCCGCGCGCCGCGGCAGCTGGCCCCTCGGCGTGCCGCCCGAGCGCAGCGCTGTGCAGGCTACTGCGCTGGGCCCCTGCAACGAATGCCCCCCGGCTCTTTCATGTGCTTTCCACCTGCCCTGTGCCACCACCATGCCTCCGCGATGCCGCCCCCACCGCCTTGCCTGTACTGAGCGCCGCTCCCCTCCCCTGCCCTCTGCCCTGCGCTCCCAGCCCCACTGTCATGCCCGCCTCCGCGCTTCTTGGCACGCACCCGCCCGTCTGCCTGCACCACGCCTGTACCCCGCCTCTCCTCCAACAACCGAGGGCAGACCCTGTACACCCGCCTGCTCGGCAGCCCCTGATACCCCCCTGGTCGGCTGCCAACCCGCACACACATGTTTAATTGGCTGCATGTTTTCTCATTGGTTCTCCAGCCCCCCTAAATTCATTCCAGCCCGCCACATTCTTCCAGCCTTCTCCCTGTCTGCTCCGCTGCTGCCGGCCGGTTCGGTTGGTGGTCGGCCGCTTGCTCTGCAGACCATGTGAGGCCCGTTTCTCCATTTTGCCTGCTACCTCATTTTTGCTGGACACCATGACACTGAAAGCCGGCCAACAGCGTGTAAGGAAGCAGGGCAGATTGTGGCAGCCAGGCTTGGGGCAAGGCGGTTGGGGGCACTACAAGCGGCGGCGCCAGCCTGGAGGCCGTACAGCCGCGTACATGGCATCTCTTGCCCTCTGCCCGGCTGGAATGCACACGACGATGGGAGCCAGGCCGCCTCACCACCCAACGCGGGGCCACCGGGCCCGGCGGTTCTTCTGGCTTACTGGGGCACTGCTGGTTGTGGCCATGCTGTGGACCTCCCAGCCAAAACCTCCAGCCAAGGCTGTCAAGCGCGTCCAAGCGCGCCGGCAGCAAGAGCAGCATTTGGTGGAGCCCGCCCTTGAGGCTGAAGTGGACGAGGAGCAGGCGGAGGCGGTGGAAGAAGATGAGCAGATGATGGAGGCGGATGCAGATGGGCTCGAAGACGACGAGGGGGCCGCCGCCCTTGAACCGCCAGGTGAAGGCGGGAGCGGCGACGCCGACGTACCGCTTCCATTAGCTGCCGCTGAGAAGAAAGCCAAGAAGCAGCCGCCGGAGGAGGAGGAGGAGGAGGAGTTTGATGATGAGGAGGAGGAGGGGGAGGAGCAGCAGGAGCTTGAGCAGGCAGAGGAGCAGCGTGAGCAGGAGCAAGAGGCAGAGGTGGAGGAGCCGGCGGCGGCGGCGGGCAAGCAGGCGCGGCAGCAGCAGCAGCAGCAGGGTGGGCAGGGAGAGCGGTCTGCTGCGTCCATTGAGGATGAGGAGGCAGCAATCATAGAACGGCAGTGCAGCGACGCCAACCGGGCGGCGGTGGAGGCGCGGGTGTTCAACGGCTCGCAGCCGCCGGTCATGGCCTGGGGCTGCGAGAACGAGTCGGTGGGTGCACTGCCTGTGGTGACCACCGCCTGCCCGCGCCAGCACCCACGCCTGCCCTGTATAGCTGCCTGCTGGCAGCCGCCGTCCAGCCCACCAGCGGTCCCCAGCAGGCCTGGCCGGCGGGCACCCGCGCCCCTCCACGCCGGCCGGCTCGCTGCTCCGTAACCGCGAGCCGCCCTCGACGCCCTGCCCGCAGTGCCCGGGCGCGTTTGTGACGCGCACCCTGCGGTACCTGCGCTCCACCCCGCGCTTCTCCTCCCTCCTCACCATGCTGCCCTGCGACCTGTGGGCCGCCATCCGCGGCCGCACGCTGTGGGTGGCGGGCGACAGCCAGGCGCAGCGCTTCTACCGCCAGCTGCGCTGCTTCCTGGCGGGGATGATGGAGCCGGAGGCGCGGCGGCGGCGAGACGCGCCCATGTCGGATGACCCCGCGCAGCAGAAGGTGGGGGGGAGGGAGTGTGTGTGTGTGGTGGTGCGGCGCCGATTCCTTCAAACGATGATGCCTGTGGGGCGCCTGCCGAGGAGGAGGGGGCCGTCGACCTGGCATGGCACGGCCGCGGCATGCTTGGCCTGCACAGCACCGCCGGCATCGCTGCCGTCACAGACGCGTGCCCGGCGCCCTGCTGCCTCCCCCGCCGTCGCCGCTGCCCCGCAGCGCATCTACGAGGCTGTGGTGAAGGGGTTTGACGGCTGCTGCGGCGTGGCGCCGCCCATGTGCACCACGTTTGTGGGCGGCACGCGGGTGTGCCACGCGCGCATCAACAAGGGCCAGCACATGCTTCACTACCTGAAGAACCTCAAGGCGCTGGGAGTGGGCAGCCGAGACATCTGGACGTTCAACGTCGGCCTCTGGTGCGCGCCCCCTCACCTGTCGAGCTGCCCGCCTGCCTGCCTGGCTGGGGGGAGGGCCGCCGCGCGGGCAGGTGGCTGTGTGGGACTGCAGGAAGGCAGCAGGGGGGCAGGCAGGCAGGCAGGCAGCCAAGGCGGCCAAGGCATGGGGGTGCGCCCCGGGGCGGCAGGCTGGTCGCGGCTGCCGGTGGCGCCGTCGGGTGGGCAGGCCAGCTCAGTTCGCGCTGCGCCTGCTGCCTGCCTGCTGCGCTGCGCTGCGCTGTGCAGGCACCACAAGAAGGAGGGGGAGTACCCCTGGCTGGTGAAGGGGCTGGCCGACTACTACCGGCAGCACAGGGAGCAGCTGCCGCGCGTCATCTGGCGGGACAACTCGCCGCAGCACTTTGACATCGAGGTGGGCTGGTGGTGGTGGTGGTGGTGGTGGTTGGGTGGCAGGCACGTCCATGCCCCTCCCGCCTGGCGCGGGGTGCTGGTGGTGGTGGTGGTGCTTGCTGCTGAGGTGTGGGAGGGGGTGGGGGTGCAGAGCCGCCGCTTGTGTGTGCGTGTGCGCGGGCTGGCTGGTGGGCTGGTGGAAAGACCGGCGTGCGGCTGGCTGGGTGCTGGTGCGGTGCAGAATGGCGAGTTCCCGCACCCCAGCGTGGCCTGGAAGGTGCTGGCCCACGCCAAGGGGTGCAAGCCCATCAAGGTGAGGCGGCAGCGGAGAAGGGGGGAGGGTGCGGCACACGAGGAGGCGCCGCTGGCGGGCCGAGCCGCCTGCCGGCTGCCGCGCATGCCTGGCGCGTGCTCCTGCCTTGCTGCTGGCAGCAGGCTGCAGGCCGGCGCCGCCCCGCCGCGGCTGCCGCCACCCCGCCGAGCCGCGCTGGCCCCGGCTGCCGCGGCTGCAGGGTGTGGAGCTGATGCCTGACGGCGCCCTGGGCGGCCCCAACGAGCACGTCAAGGCGGGCGGGTGGCGCAACCAGCTGTCTGACGGCGTGTTCAGGGCCGCGGGCATGCCCATCCACGCCACATGGAACGACACGCTGCCCATGCACGACGGACACATCGGATCGGAGTGCACACACTTCTGCGCCCCCGGCGCCTACAACGTGTGGATCTGGTCCCTCTGGCGCCTGCTGCTGAGCCTGGACGGGCAGGGGGAGGAGCGGCTGGCGGCGACGGGCGTGGCAGAGGGCTCCGCGGCGGCGGCGCAGGCGGCGGCCACGGGCCAGCAGCAGGCGGCAGCAGGAGGAGGCACGGCGGCCAGCGCAGGCGCAGGCGCGGCGACCACGGCGGGAGCCGACGGGTCGGCG